GGCTCCCGCGGCGCGGCCCTGTGCGGGCGCGGTGCGAGGCCTGGCCCCGGGCCTTCCGCGCCCGCGCCTTTGCCGCCCCTGCCCTGAGGAGGCGCCAGCGTAGGAGCGCGCCGTCCTGCAGGGCGCGGCTCCGGCTTACTGCTGCTCCCCACTTCCGAATCGCTACCACATTTCCACATCGAGATGACGGTTTTATGAAGAACTGAACCCCTACCTTTTCCCCCTGGACTGTGGTATTCGCCTCTCTGTAGGAACTGTGCCTCTGTGAATGAAAGAGCCACTCCCATTGAGATGAGTAGTATTTTTCTCATCATCTGTCATTTTCCTTCTAATTCTTAAGCGGATTGACGCTGAATCTGTTCCGCAAGAACCCAGCAAAAGTTGAGCCTCTCCACCAGTGGAAGTTTCTGCACACTACTTCGTCTCGGAAAGGTCTGGAGGAGTTTTTTGATGATCCCAGAAACTGGGGAGAAAAAACCGTAAAGTCTGGTGAGTTATATTTAGCATTTCTGGTAGAGATCTTTGAGCCACTTGGGCTCAGCTGAAATCTGACCTATTCTTTTGCATTATAGAAAATATTCATAGCTACATACAACGTATTTTTATGTGTACATGTACATAAATATACTTGTGCATTTTATGCCTCTTAATTATACTTTTTCTGTGTATTCTGTGCTTATGAAAGCAAATAGCTATCATGCAGCAAAACATTTTGCTGTAAATCCTCTGCCTTGCTCTGAAGTGAGAGTGCATCACGGAAGAGATGTTCTTTGATGAAATACACAGTACCATGGAAGAAAAATATTTCAATGTAAAGATTCACCTAGCTTTCCCTGTTCCCAGCCTTTTACAAACACAAATAAACAGTACATGTCATTGCCTTTTTAATGTGTTTGTACATTCAAAGCCAAGCTGAATATCCACCAGGATAGCTTTCCAAGAGGTAGTATTTTTTTAAAAAAGTGAATCTTGTTCTGTTGAGTTAGCTGAGCCTGCTAATAGAAGCACACTTTTTTTTCCAGAATAGAACTTTATTCTATTAAATTGATTTTTTAAAAAAATTTTATTTATTTTACAGGGGATGCATGGAATATAAAGCAGCTAAGGGGCAAGAGTAGTGAAGACTTGCACAAACTTTGGTATGTAAGTTGTAGCAAAGTAGCTTCTCTGCTTTCAAAGCAGCTTCTCTGCTTTCAAAGCAGCTCTGCACGTTTTATTAAAATGTGGCTAGTGAACTTATTAGCCAGTAAATTTAGTCTGCCGTACAGCTCTGCGTGCTTGAGCCGGCTTTGGGCTTGGAGCAGCCTGAGTTCTGGCACTGCTCAGCATGGGAAGGCTGCACGGCGGTGGCTGTGGGATAGCGGTGCCCAGCGCGGAGGGCTCAGGGCTGGCAGGGGAGGCTGAGTGCGAGCCCTCTGGGGGCTGTCCGTGCTGCAGGACGGGCTCGGCTGGGCATGACCTCTGCGGGGGCTAACCGCCAAACTGGATCAGGCTGCCCAGCTCCGCATCCATTCCGATTCTGAAAGTCCCTGAGGCTGGAAATTGCATCGCTACTCTAGACAACCCGTGCCAGGGCTAAACTAGTGCTTAATTATTACTGTGAGTAGTTTTTTCCTTGCTGTATCATGTCCGTTTGCTGTGCACCTGTACGAGTTGTCTGCCTCTGTCAGGTTGTGGAAGACCGCTTGGTGTTAACCTCTTCCCTCCTTTGCCGCTTTTACCCTCAGCCTCTCCCCGTACGTCAGCCCTCCCCTGCCCGCCTCCGGGCTTTCTCCAGCTGGTCACGACCTACAAGCTCCGTACGGGGTTGTAGGTGCTCTGTCCAGCAGGGTAGAGAGTGAGTAATTGCCAACGCATCTAGAAATTATTTTTGAAGTACTATGCTTTCTGATCCAGGTACGTCCTACTGAAGGAAAAAAACATGCTTTTAACTTTAGAGCAAGAATCAAAGCGACAACTCAGGCCTATGCCAAGTCCTGAACGATTAGAAAAGGTAACTTTTTCTTACTAGTTAAAAATGTAACTCTAAGTAAAATTGCTGAGTGAAAAGTAAAGTGTTTGTAAACATGTTAAAGACCATTTTAAAAATATTTCCCTGATTTAGTATAAGCACAAACCCTGTGCTCATGCAACACTGCTGGAAAGGCCTCTCCACCTGTTACAATGTGAAGAAATATTTTGGCATCTTCATGCCCTGAAATTGCACTGGAGGATTTCTAGAAACTTCCTAGTAAACCCTTCACAAACTTTTTTATCTACTTCACTGTTGCCAGCTTCCTGCCTGACACTGTCTTCTCCAAACTTGGGCTCTTTGGTTCTTTGCTGTCCTCGCTTTTGTTGTCCCCTCCTTCTTTCGCATTATTGTGATTCTGCAACTAATTTATTAAATTCTTTCCTCAGTATCTTTACCATTGAAAACTTTCATAATTGACTGCCATCTCTATGCTTATGTCTCACAGGTGAAAATCTACACCTTCACTGGCCAGTTCAATAACCCAGCCGTTTGACACGAGAGATATTCTCAGATACCCCCTATTTATCCAAATTAACTTGGGAAAAGTCTGACCTTCGCATTGCTCCTCTGAATTTCTTTGTATGGTTTATCATTGACCTGTGTATTTGCCACCGCATGCATCTGCAGCTGTGTTATGATCTCTGTTTTTTGTGTCAGACACGGATTTGGTCTCCTACTCTAGTCATTTCATCACTGTACTTAGGAATTAGGGAAGATCCAATATAAAACTCTCCTCTGGCTCCCCTAGCGTATCGTGTTCTCATTTATCATAATACAGTTTCTCAACCGTGATTTGTGATTCCCATTCTGAAGAGTATTTTCTGCTTAGTCCCACCTACACATCCATATTCAGCAACTCCAAATCACAGTAGAATTTGTTTTGGGAGGGAACTTGTTAAGTGGCCCCAACATTTCAAAAGTCAAATCTTACTAATTGCCTGTTTGGTTTTGGCTGAAGCCCAAGGAAAGCAGAAGTCAAGCAGCAGTTAAATATTATGACTGCACAGAGACAAAAATACAGCAATTTGCTTATTAAAATCAGCTCTAGCAGCTTCCCAGAGCACTTAACATGTTGCCGTATGTAATGTGTGTTACAGTAATATTCCGTGGCAGACCTGACTAAAAACCTTTGGCTCGAGTGCCATAGTTTGGTCACGGCAGCTTCCCAGCAGGCATTGTGGAGGCTGCTCGCAGACTGGAATAACAGACAGCCATTACAAACCGCCCGACAGAAACGCGGACAGCATATCCTCCTTTTGCCTCTCCTACTTTCTTCCTGCCTCAGAGCTTTCTCTGCTTCTGGCATCAGCATTACGTTTGGCTTTATGTATTCTGTAGTCTTTCATGAATATGCAGACCGTCAGTTATTTCCTCCCTCTTCTACCTGTAAGTTAGCTGCTTTCAGCACCCTTCTTCACTGTTTCGCTCAGTCCCCAACTGTGAGATTACTCATGATGGAACTCCTAGCCTGTTTTACTTTTGCTTTTCCTTTAAATTTTGTCTTAGATCTTCACTTGAGATCTTTTAAGTTGTCAGCATTGTGTTTTGTTGCCTCATCCTGAAACTATTTCCTATTTCCAGGTAGAAAAATCTATGAAAAATATAGACTTGGTTGTCAGAGAAAGAGAAATTGCTCTGAGGCTTTTACAAACTGGCCATGAAAAGCCAGTACCTGGCGAGTGGAGACATGACTTCTTAGGACGCACCTACTGGTATGGAAAACTTTTTGTTTCTTCATACGTGTGAATTTTTCCTTGTGGTATGTCTCTTTACTAGAAAATCCTTATCTAATCAAGAAAGGATGCTTATACTGTATGGAAAGAAACATGTTTTCTGGTCAGCATTCAGCTGCTTCTTGAGTTTTGGGTTTTGGTTTTTTTTTTTTTTTTTTTTTTTTTGTTTTTTTTTTTTTTTAATGTGGT